CGCGCGCTGCCGCGCCTGGTCCGCCCCCCCCCCCCCCCTTTCCTCGCAATGAATAATACACTCGTCCCTTCTTTGGTATTTCCTTGTGTTTATTCAACAAAATAGTCGCCAGATATGACGTACTATCACTCGTTTGGCAGTCAACTCTTGTATACAGGCGCTACTCAGATTCTACATTGTCCTGTTTGGTGTCCACCAAATGTACACACACAGTTGTACATTTGTGCATATGTATTCAGGTATTTGTGGCCGACACAATGGGTGCAAATGTTGGCAACTTTATCTTTTTCCAGCCAGCCCTTTTACTCTCCTCCCGTCCCCCAATAAACCCCTTCTATCTCCCCCCCCCCCCCCCCCATCCCCACCCCCGTCCTCCTGTCTGTCTTCAGTGCGTCTGTCATTTCATAGGTGGCGTCTATACGCGGAGATATGATAGGGGTGCATGTGCAACCGTTTCCTATGTGGCAGTTGTCATTTCTTTCAGTGAAGCCGAGCGAGCCATTAACTCATTCAATCTCAGCCATTTTGGAGCAACCCCCTCAATCCCAGCGTTTTACTGGATTTTGACTGATCTTGCAAGGCCCACAGAATATTTGGTTCTAATGCTATATAAACATAAAGTTTGGACTCTCTTCTTTCAGCAAAAAAAAAAAATGTTTCTATCTTTTTCCATTCTTCAGCAATCGGCATTACAAAATGGCTAAGTTTTATGGAAATGGCGATTCCTGGGCAAAAAACGGAGAAAAAGAGCTTTTTGTAAAAACGTGCATTTCAATCACGTGAGGCACCACTGCCACCTACTGGTCGCTTTTTTTACAAGATTTACAATGCAAACGGCTTATTCTCATTCACAGATTGCATCAGACCCTCTGCCTTTCTATGACGCAAAAAAAAAAGACTTAGACGTACAAGTACGTCCTTGGTAGGCGGGGCTTAATTTTAAAAAGACTTAGAAGTATGTATTGTGGAATGAAAGAGTTAATAGCCCCAATTTGAGTTGTGTCACTTGACTCAAGTCGGACTGAGTCAAGTTGTAGGAATTTGGACTTGCTTGGGTAGAACTTATTCATGACGTGACTGGAAAGTGCTGACTTCACTCGACTCTTTCTCTGTCCGAATCATCAGGCTCTGGAACGTGAGCAGGTGGACGGCGTTCAAGTCAAGCTGCAGCATGTCAACGCCGTAGGCCAGGGTCTGATCCAAAGCGCTGGCAAGAACACGGACACGCGGGCGCTGGAGCATGACCTGGACGAAACCAACCAGAGATGGAACTCGCTCAACAAGAGGGTAATGAGAGAGTCCACGCAAGAAAAATTGTGTACCAACCAACCTCCGGAAACAAAATTGTATCCGTGTGTTCCTACAGGTGGCCGAGAGGATCGCTCAGCTGCAGGAGGCCCTGTTGCATTGTGGGAAATTCCAGGATGCCCTGGAGCCGCTGCTCAGCTGGCTGAGCGACACAGAGGAGCTGGTGGCCAATCAGAAGCCGCCGTCGGCTGAGTACCGAGTGGTCAAGGCCCAGATCCAAGAGCAGAAGGTGGGACCATGATCATAGTAAAAAAAAAAAAAAATTAACACAATGTTGGTGCTCAAAGCTGTCACCATTGCTTGTTTTGATGATCATCGAGCAACCGCCAATGTATGTGAATAATCATGAGGTCATCGCAATTGCTCGTTGGTGATCATGACAAAAATTGGAAGATAATAGCACTTAGCAGACAGCCAATAAGGTCACTCTGATGGCAAAATTAACAATTGTATGGGACTTTTTTTTTTAAATGTCAATTTTTGAATTTGAAATCCTGCTAAAATCCACGAGGCATCCACATGGCATTCCGTGATTGCTATCACGACGTGTTATTCCAACTGATCGTCCTTCATGAATTTGTTTCTCATTGATGTCATCGCTCAGCATTGAATGGAACCATTTGACCGGGCAAACAAGCACAGAACCACAATGGAGAAGTCGAGTAATGCTGTCATGTGTTTATCCAACATCCATTTCCTGTGTTTGTGACCTGGGGAGTGCGTTTAGATACTAATCACATTTGTTTACATCCACCACTAGGATGATAGAGAGATGAGAATACTTTGCTTCTTAATGAACATGGCGCTTGGTTTCTTACACTCTTCTATGTTGGCCGTCCAGCTTCTCCAGAGGCTGCTGGATGACCGGCGGCCCACAGTGGAGATGATCCGCGCCGAGGGCGAGCGCATCTCATCCACCGCTGACGCTCAGGACCGAGAGAAGATACAGATGCAGCTGCAAAGTCTTGCCGAGAGGTGGAGCGACCTCCTGGACAAGGCCAGCTCCAGGTAGCGCCAGCTCCAAAGCCTAATTGTGGTTCCTCTCATTTGTTTTCGAAGGACATGCTTCAGAGAAGGCATTTTTGTTTGTTTTGCTTTGGTTTCTGCGCCGAATAACTTGTTTGCAAGGTCATCACGCAAAGACACACACCAGAAGGCAAAACAATTGCAAATAGGGTGGGCCACGTAACATCTGGTCGGCTCGTGATGAGCATAAAGTCTCTGGATTCTCTTGAAACACTCAAAATGCTGCGAAACCAAGAAACGGCCTCTTGAAATTGGTTTGTTTTGTCATTGTTATTTTGAGACCAAATAAAGGGCCTATTTAGAAGGCCTTTCAGTATTACAAAAGGGTACCACCTTTCACGCATTTGATTTTTCAAATCAACCCCCGAAGCTCGTTCCGCTTTGCAACATGAAATGTGGTAGGCGTGTCCATCACAAAACCCCCCAAAAAGGTGACTGGAAGCCATGCCTGAAAAGACACAGACAGAACGTTCAGACGTTTTGCCTTGAAGCAACCATTTGGGCTAATTTTGTCTGTTTCCAGTCATTCTTCAGGACTCCCTCCGAAAAGCATTTGTCCAATTGCTCTCGAATGTGGCGCAACCATACGGGACAGATGGATGTTGTTAAATTGTTTTAGTGCTAAGCACTGCGTCTGGGCGGACCGTGGTTGGCAAAGTTTGAACACCCGTCATAAAACGGAACAATCAACCAACTATGGTTTTTAAAAATTCAGCCCCTGTAGCCAGTTTTACTTGGCAATGTGAAACTTTGTAAACACATCTATTATGAGTAGACAGAGTTGACTCTTTTTAATTTAGCATTGTCTTTTGCCCAGTTTTTTTTTGTCTCCTCTAGCTCCTTTTGTATTCAAGAAGTTGAACAAATTACTTTCTTCAGGCTTGTGATTGACTAGAATGGCCTCCTAATTGGGGGTTATCGTGCCACGTGTTGCTGTGGCACCTACTTAACACCTTCTAATTGCCTCAGAACATAAAAATAAGTTGGCTCTTGTTGTGTCGACGGTTATCTTATGCGCACACACTTGAACCGTTTCTGAAACAGCTGGGAGGGCAATAAAAATGCCCATAAAAATCCTCTCCCCCATCTTTCGGCGTCAGGCAAAGGCAGCTAGAAGAGCTGCAGGTGTTGGCGCTCCACTTCCACGAGGCTCTGGAGCCGCTTGGCGAATGGCTGAGTGCCACCGAGAGGCGCGTTAGCTCCGCAGAGCCCATGGGAACCCAGACGGCCAAGATCAGCCAGCAGATTGTCAAACACAAGGTACCCCTGTACAAAACACTCCTGAGAATGCTCCAAAGTGGTTTTCACAACAGAGCCAGGGTGACATGTGAAAATGGCTGAGACACACACACACACACACACACACACACACACACACACACACACACAAACCTCGTACATGTTGTTCATCATTCTCAACAGTAACCGCCTTAAAGGTTGCGTATCAGTGTGTTCGTTCATACTTCATATAGCCAGAATAAATGAAAAAAATGTGACATTGCCTGCTTTTGGCTGGAACTCTTAGCGGCAAAGAGGGCAACCCTTTGCTGCTAGTAAAAAATCTAATTAGATTTTGACTCCCTGTTGGAAGTTAAGTGTGGTTTTGGCTTGCCAAAATAGTGAAACTGTACTGTTTGTCATTTATTAATGATGACAGCAACATTGTTAATAGATGACAAAAGCCTTCAGTTGGCGAGAGAATGAAAGAGAGAGATGAAAGATAGCTAGCTAGGTAGAAAGCTAGCTAAATTGAAGTTCAAGCTACTTCTGAAACTTATCTCGGGGCGGTGTTAGATTGCCACGGCGGCAATATTCACATATGAACACTCACATATTAATTATATAGTACAACCAAAATACTAACAAAAACGGCAACAATGAGGAGGGATTAAAAATTCAAATATAATCTAAACAATAAAAATCTGAAGATCGAGGTGTTGAATGGTGAAAAAAAGTCTGAAAAAAATGGACATGAAATGAAAATGAATGAACATGAGCCATAAAACTTCATATACATTGTTTTCCCATTTGTGGGCTTTAAATTATACTTTATATATTGTTGTGTTACTTTTCATTCGTCATTATGATTTTCAGTTTTATGATTTTTCATCTGCATGCTCATTTGTTTGTCTCCATCTTTTGTTCTCTTTTCCATTACCTATCCCCTTCCATCAAACACGCACGCACGCACGCACGCACGCACGCACGCACGCACGCACGCACGCACACACACACACACACACACACACACACACACACACACACACACACACACACACACACACACACACACACACACACACACACACACACACACACACACAAAACCCTCCCAGGCCATCCAAGATGACGTGTGCGCCCGCGAGTCCGACGTGGCCCGCCTGCATTCCCTTAGCCAATCGCTGGCTCCGCTCAGCTGCGCATCAGACCGTGATTGGCTGGGCGATCGGGTGGAGGCGGTGCAATCGGGCCACGCCCAGCTTTCTGAGTGGTGTGCACGGCGGGCGGCGCTGCTGGAGCAGGCGCTGGCCAACGCTCGTCTCTTTGGAGAGGACGAGGTGGAGGTTCTCAACTGGTTGGCTGAAGTGGGCCAGCGGCTGGCGCTGGTTTCGGTGTACTGTTACCGGGCTGACGCGCTGGCCGAGCAGCACAAGCACGCGCTGGTACGACCGCGACGGGCGGAGAAAAATATAGCGGATGGAGTAACATTGCAAAAACTGGAGTTAAAAAAAAGGAATAAAGTAATGGCCAAAGAGTATACAGTATTACTTAATTCAGTGATATGCGGGGGGCCCTCTTGTGGTATGCGAAAGAATGACTGAATTCAATGTTGAAATTTTATGTGAGCGTCTTATTTGTAATCCAGTGTATTACATTAATTAAATTCAGATCTGTTATATTTAACTTTCATGTATAAAACTGTACATTTACGTCTAATTCAATTCAGGTCTGTTATATTTAACTTTCATGTATAAAACTATACATTTACATCTAATCAGACCTTTTTTTGTCCTTCAGTCTCTAAACGAGGAGATTGTAAGCAGGAAGAAGACAGTGGACCAGGCCATCAAGAACGGACAAGCACTACTCAAGCAGACCACAGGTGGGTGTCCGGTGGTTTTCGCGTATCCAGTCCTTCAGAGGTTCTTGGTTCTTTCTGTAGTCCTTGGTTCCCCAAACCTTTAGTTAGCTCTTAGTTTTGTTGGTCTTCGCTGATCCAAGCCTTCAATAGTTGTTGGTTCCGGTTAACCTGACTGCCCAGCTGGTCTTCCTCCCACAGGTGAAGAGGTCCTGCTGATCCAGGAGAAGCTCGACGGCATCAAATCTCGCTACGCCGAGATGACCGCGGGCAGCAGCAAAGCGCTGCGCACGCTGGAGCAGGCGCTGCAGCTGGCCACGCGATTCGCCACCGCCCACCATGACCTCAACCAATGGCTCGACACCGTGGAAGCAGAGCTCAACGATGTGGAGCCCGACGCCTCGCTCGCCTACCAGGAACGACAGAAGGTAGCGTTTCTCAATTACAAGATTCCGTTTCTTTTTATCATTTTTTTTTTCTTTGTATTCATTGATATTTTCGTCTTATTTTGTAGGAGTTGAAGAAAGTGTCAGCTGAGAAGCGGCTGGTGTTGGACACCGTCAATGAGGTGGGCAGCGCCCTGCTGGATCTAGTGCCCTGGCGAGCCCGCGAGGGGCTGGACCGACTGGTCGCTGACGCCAACCAGCGCTACAGACAGGCGGACGACACCATCACGCAGCGGGTGCAGCTCGTGCAGGCCGCCATCCAGAGGTCGCAGCAGGTAGTGCGGTCTCACTGCCACACTTGCGCTGGCATATTTCTACTTCTTCCACTTGTTTCTAGTTCTTATCACCTTATCGTGTTTTTACTTATACACAGTTGTCCCTGCGTTCCTTTGTTATCACAGTTCGAAGAGGCGGTGGACGCAGAGCTGGCCTGGGTTAGTGAGATGGAGCGCAAGTTAGCATCGCTGGGCCCGCTGAGCCTGGAGCCTGACGTGACGGTGGCCCAGCTTCAGGTCCAGAAGGCCTTCAACATCGACATCATCCGCCACAAGGACACCGTGGACCAGCTGCTAGCCACCAGGGATGACATCCTGGAGACTTGCAGCGAAACCCAGAAGGATGCGCTGAAGGTGGGGGGAGGGGGGGTGGGGACCAGAAACTGGTCCATTCACATCAATTATAAGCTAGACCAGTGGTTCTACAACTTTTTACACCAAGCACCACTGCAAAAAAAACCCAACTTAAATCTATGTGTATATAGCACATGTACTGTAGGAGATTGAAAGAGTGTTTAAGTCACCTTGAAGTCACCGTTACTTTCCTTTTTTAAAAAAAATAAATAAAAATACGTTTTCATTCCTATGGTACACATTCTTCTCCTTCAGGTGAAGACCGACTCCTTGAGTGCCCGCTACGACGCTGTCAACCAGAGCCACAGCGGGCGCTTTGCGGCGCTGGAGCAGGCTCAGGTGCTGGTGGCCCGCTTCTGGGAGACCTACGAGGAACTGGAGCCGTGGCTGGGTGAGACCGAGACCCTCATTGGGCAGCTGCCGCCACCCGCCATCGACACGGACACCCTGCGCCTGCAGCAGGACCAGATGAGGGTAAAAACATCTAATTCCAATCATAACAGGAAAAACTGTTTTGAATAGTCGGAAAAATAATAATAAAGGCGAACCTCTTTTCAACATACCCCGTTTACGTTTCCACCATTATAACGTTCATTTTTCAAAGTCCCGATTTTACATCATTCATTTTCCATTTGCCGAGTTTGCTTAACGACCAGATTTTTCCCCCCAAAATCGTGAAAAGGCCTTTTTTGTATTTCTATGTTGACGTTCAGCTGCTGAGAGAGTCCATCGCCGAGCACAAGCCGCACATCGACAAACTACTGAAGATCGGACCCCCGCTGGCCGAGCTGAGCGCCACTGAGGGCCCGCGTGTGACGCAATGCTACGCCGAAGCCGAGCGCCGCTACCTGGCAATTAAGGAGGAGGTGAAGAGTCGCGCGGCGCTGCTGGACGAGGCCGTGTCGCAATCCGCTCAGGTAGGACGAACCCCGAGGGAAGTGTGACCGCTCAACAGCACGACTGTGTTTTTTTTTTGGGTGATTGTGATCAAGACTTGAATGTGTCGTTCTATTTTGCTTGAGCTCATAAGTTGCTGCCAGAGGTGGGTTTGACAATTTTAGAACTTGCTCGGCTAAGACATTTACATAGTGGCGTGTAGACTTTTTCTGTCCGCCTATGACATATGATGATTCCCACCTCCGGTTGCCGCTGTCCATTTTTTTTTGCACTGTGGAGGCATGTTTCCAATTTAACTGGTTGTGTTGTTTCTCCACCCTCCATCCAACCTCCATTTGTCTGTCCCTCCATCCACCTCCACTGTGTCCTAAACCTCCTTGTCTGTCCTTTAACCATCCCAACACGTCCTTTTGTCCCGTCCGCCACACCGTCACGCCCCGTCGGTTGTGTGTTGTCGCCGCATGTCACCACCACCACTTCCACCACCACTTTTCTCCATGGTCACTGCTCACTGCTGTCGCCCAGCTGGTGGAGGTAAGACGGACTGCTTCCTTCTTGCACGCCTTCTCATGCACAAAAATTGGTTGACTTAACCCAAGTATTTTAGTAGTTTTTGTCCTAGTTTATACTGTATTCTTCTGTGTGTGACTTAGTTGTACAATCTGATGGAAATCCACAGCGATGAATTCAATGCTTTTGAGTGATTTTAGAAAAAAAAAATCAAATCAAGATTTTATTGCATTGTTTAAACAAAAGGTGTAAAATGTGAGGCTCACAGCTAAACTCCTTTCTATTTTACCAACCCGACTCATTAAAGATGTTATAAATGTTGAAGATGCAGATGGGATTTGTTTTAAATGGACTTTTAGAAGGCAGAAAATGCCAAAGAAGGTGTCATTTGCAAAATGGATCAATTTGATTTTATTACACGAGTGGAATGTTAGCTGGACAGATCTAAACATTAAATGTAGGGCTTGGTTTTAAAATATTTTTAAAAGGCAGAACCTAGCAAATAAAGCATTCAACTTCATGACTTAAAAAAAAGGGGCAACAGAGTCAATTTAGCTAAGTCCCCAAATCCTTACAGTTCCACGATAAGATGGACCCTCTTCTGGAGACCTTGGAGGCGGCCGTGCAGCGCCTACGTCAGCCGCCTCCGGTGGCGGCCGAGGTGGAAAAGATCCGCGAGCAGTTGGCCGAGCACCGGGCGCAGGGTCTGGAGCTGGACAAACTGCTGCCCAGCTTCTCCGCCCTCTGCGCCCGAGGAGAGGAACTCATCAGCCGGGCGGCCCACGATGATCCAGCTGCCCAGGGTGAGTGAGGACCTCCGGGAAGGCGGAAACTACGAAGTAGCCCACTTGGTTCGGTTGTGTACGTGGGGAAAGCTACAAATAGTGAAAATATGTGAATAACTGACACCCTTCCAAAGGGGTTCGGAATTTTTTTTCAATCACCACCGTTAAATTTGAAAACAGAGCATCATAAAACATCAACACCGCTCTTGTAGCATGTACACAATCATCAGCCTATGTTCCATAAATGACTATATTCTGTAAACAAACTACCATCAAAAGGCTCATCAAGAGTATTAGTTAGCATGCTAGCCTGAATAACACACTAGCAAAGCCGACAAAATCACGAAGGCTTAGTTGATGCTTATTAATTAATGATGCCGATTGTGAAATCATTCTCTAACTGAGATGATCTCTTCTTTCCCACCCCCAATGGCCCCACCAGCCGTTCATTCCCGCCTACTGCGCCTGCGCTCATTGTGGGACGAGATTCGCCAGCGTGCCGAGGAGCGCGAGAGCAAACTCAACGACGTGCTAGACCTGGCCAGCAAGTTCTGGGCAGACATGGCGGCGTTGTTGAGCACGCTGCGCGACTCGCAGGACATCGTCAAGGAGTTGGAGGACCCTGGCGTGGACCCCTCACTCATCAAGCAGCAGATCGAGGCCGCCGAGGTAGGAGAATGTACAGTGTGCACTCCTTACCAGCAGAGGCGCTGTGGTGCATAAAAAGGAATGACAAATCTTTGGTTTGAGTGTTTTTAACTGTTTTTGACTTCTCCTGTATCCAGTATGGATGGAAAGGCCTCTAATTCAAAAGATTATTATCTATATTTTTTAATTTACAAATGTTTGTCCGGTCCAGGCCATCAAGGCGGAGACGGACGGCCTGAGGGAGGAACTGGAGTTTGTCAGGACCCTCGGGGCCGACCTCATCTTCGCCTGCGGAGAAACCGAGAAACCCGAAGTTAAGAAGACCATTGACGAGGTGAATCGCCAACACTTTGTTCACAGCGCCGCGCGGAAGAGTCAGTGCGAAAATTCAAAAAGGACTTAAAGGCTAGACCTTTTGATACTTGTCAAAAGGCCTGCACCCATATGCTTATTTTTTTTTTCTTTGCAACTCCTCAGATGAACGGCGCTTGGGAAGGTCTGAACCGGACGTGGCGAGAAAGGATGGAGAGGCTGGATGAGGCCATGAGCGCCTCCGTGCAGTACCAGGATTCACTGCAGGTGACTGAAAACGCTCCGATGACATCACGAAATTCCTGGTCCAAAGTGTCGTTTTTGAAGCCAACGCCAATGATGCTGGTCGTGATGACTGTGTGTATTTTGTAGTCCATGTTCGACTACTTGGACAACGCGGTGATCAAACTGTGCGAAATGACAACAGTGGGCACTGACCTGGGAACAGTCAAACATCAGATTGAGGAGCTCAAGGTAGGCATCGTGTTATATAATTTCAGAACTCAGTATGAGGTCTTTAAAATGTGAATCGATTAAACGGCGGACACCTGCTATGAATCCACGAACAGTGAGGGTCCTCAAAAAGTGAATTTAATTGCCTATGTTAAGAGTTTGAAGACTCCTAGTTGTAAAAGTAGGGCCCCAACTGACTAAATCTGCCTTTTGTGGCGTTTCCGTCGAGCAGCAGTACAAAGTGGACGTGTACCAGCAGCAGATCGACATGGAGAAGCTGTGCCACCAGGGGGAGCTGCTGCTGAAAAAGGTTTCAGACCAGACAGACCGTGATATGATCCAGGAGCCGCTGACCGAGCTGCGCCACCTGTGGGACAATTTGGGGGACAAGATCACCCAGAGACAGGTATGGGGACCACTCATGATGATCATCGTCATCATCGTCGTGCAACAAGGTGACTTCCACGTCAGAGAAGCTGCTTTTACTGCCACCTGAACTGTTTTATCCTCACCCGCAGCACAAGCTGGAGGCTGCCCTGCTGGCCCTGGGTCAGTTCCAGCACGCCCTGTCTGAACTGCAGGCCTGGCTGAGCCACACATACACCACCCTGGACACCCAGCGACCAATCAGCTCAGACCCCAAGGCCATCGAAATCGAACTGGCCAAACATCATGTACGTTCCTCTACTGATTATTACTTTTTTTTTTCCTACGAGTAGCAATGTGCAATTAATTTGGATGAAAGTGAATTTGTTCAGATGACTACTTTTTCGTTAGCTCAAAGCACGTCACTGCTGCTTTGCATTTCTGACACTAACAACATGACTATGACCAGAGTGGCGTTAAAAAGCACAGTCGGTGCTGACATCACAGCAACTTTTCCGACCCCACCAGCATTTATTTTTCAAAGCAACTTGTTCGCTATCTCACTCACTCACTTGACCAGGCCCTGCCTTTTTCTCGGCATACACTCTCAAAGTTACAGACACTACAGTAGAATGCGAGGATGGCCATCCCAAGTAGTGCACGTAATTGTTTTACAAAAATCAATATTTATAGAATTAATTGATGGATCATTGTTACAATACTTCAGTCTGGAATGAAACGGTTTCAAATATCATTTTGCATCAACATAAATTAAATCACAGAAAGTTGAACAAACAATAAATAAATCTTGTTTTCAATAATATCAATGTGAAAGGTGAGAAAAAAACCCTCAACATTTGATTTCAAGGCCCACCCAGACCCAGCCGAACCGATATTTCAAGTGATTTTTTTCGCTAATTTCTGAGGCTAAAACCCAGAATCCATTGTTTCAGGTTTTGCGCAACGACGTGCTGTCCCACCATGCCACGGTGGAGGCCGTCAACGCAGCGGCCGGCGAGCTCCTGGAGTCGTCCCCGGGAGACGAAGCCAGCCACCTGAGGGAACAACTAGACCAGCTCAACCACAGCTGGCAAAACCTCTTGCTCAAGACGCAGGAGCGGCAGAAGTTGCTCGAAGCCGCCTTGCACCAGGTAAAATCTCAATTTGACTTTATTTCATGTAGACGGCAAACTGCTCTGGGGGAAGACTCAAAAACGACTTGACCTTTGTTACTATTTTGACCCTTTTTCAATGTTTGCTTGTAGGCGGAGGGCTTCCATGGGGAACTGGAGGAGTTCCTCCAGTGGATGAGGCGCACAGAGAGCCAGCTGTCTGCAGCCAAGCCCACTGGAGGCCTCCCCGAGACAGCCAGGGAGCAGCTGGAGCAGCACATGGTGACTAAGCAACATATCAAACTCTTGACTCCTGATTTTGGATGCGTTTTTCAATGGAAAAAGTTGCCTACGGATGCCAAAAAACAAGCACGGAGAGGATCATAAAGCATCAACACCATGCATGTAGCCAGATTCTAGCATTTACACACTCATGAATCCATGTTACATAGACAGTTGTATGCGGTAGTTAAATTATCACTGCATTCAGCCATTCCGCTTACCTTTTATACCGGATATCCACAGGAGCTCCAAGGCCAGCTGACTCTGCGGGCCGATCAGTACAACCGGTTACTGAATGCTGGAGAATCCATGCTTCTGGCTCGCGGTGGAGAGGACGCCGGACCGGGAACCACCCAGACCCAGCAAAACCTGGCCATGCTGCAGAACAAGTGGGCCAGCCTCAACACCAAGATGGACGACCGCCGGGTAAGATGATTTGCCGTTTGACAACATGGTCAGTTTAGGTGTCTGACTGTGAACTGTCAACTGCACAGGCCAAGCTGGAGGAGGCTCTCTCGCTGGCGACGACTTTTCAGACTTCCCTGCAGGACACCATCAACTGGCTGACGCAGGCGGAGCAGACCCTCAACATGGCCCAGCCGCCCAGCCTCCTCCTGGATACGGTCCTCTTCCAGATCGATGAGCACAAGGTAGAGCACGCCAGACGGGATATTTCCGCTCACATAAACACACATGATGTGAACGTGGTTTCCGGCCCGGCCTGTGTTCAGGTTTTTGTCAACGAGGTGAACACGCACCGCGAGCAGGTCCTGGCCCTGGAGAAGTCCGGTTCGCAGTTGCGCTTCGCCAGCTTGAAACAGGACGTAGTCATCATCAAGAACCTGTTGCTGAGCGTTCAGGCCCGCTGGGACAAGCTGGTCCAGAGGTCTCTAGACCGCGGGCGGCACCTGGACGAGGCTCGCAAGAGGGCCAAGCAGGTACTGAATCGGGATTTCCAGTTTTTTTTCCTGCTAAATAATGATGACGTTGGGATTGAGATCATTCCGGCTTCCTTTATCCCTCGACATGGAATTGTGGACAATGGACCTGAATAGTTCCCTTATTATCCATCCATCCATCCATTTTCTAATCCCCTTAGCCTATCCCAGCTGTCTTTGAGCAGCGAACAAGATGCCAGACAATATCAGAAAAAGCGCTACTTTTGTACCTTCGCTTGCATTATTCCTTTTAATTTAAAAAAATCGTAATCTTTCCTCAGTTCCACGAGGCTTGGAGGAAGCTGACCGATTGGCTGGAGGAGGCAGAGAATCGATTGGACTCGGAACTGGAGATCCCCAACGAACCGGACAAGATCAAAGTCCAGCTGACCAAACACAAGGTCCAGGAATCCTGTCAGCACTGAGGTCCCTCCCATCGGACGTCCTTCCTCACGTCCTGTCTCGCTTGGTCTTGCAGGAGTTCCAGAAGGCGCTGGGCTCCAAGCAGCCCGTCTACGACACCACGGTGAGGTCTGGCCGGGCCATGCGTGATAAAGCTCAGCTGCCGGCCGACACCCAGAAACTGGACCATCTGGTGGGCGAAGTCCGCGACAAATGGGACACAGTCTGTGGGAAGAGCGTGGAGAGGTTAAAGGAGATTTTTTATTCAAATTTTCATTCAGTTGTGTAATTAAAATGTATGATTTCATTTAAAAATAATAAATTTTATTAAATACTTGAATTTAATTTAAAATATATACATTCAACATTTTTTTCCATCCATTCATTGCTATTATTTTACTCAGTAGGTTAATTTATTACAATGAAATGTGTTTTAATTAATTACAATTTAAAAACGCATTTCATTACATACTAGTCCATTTATCTCATATAAATATCCAAATTGAAATAAAAAAAAAAAACCAAAAAAATAACAGTTGTCTTCCACCAGGCAACACAAGCTGGAGGAGGCTTTGCTGTTCTCGGGTCAGTTTGCCGAGGCCCTCCAGGCTCTGGTAGACTGGCTGTACCGTGTGGAGCCTCAGCTGGCTGAAGATCTGCCTGTGCATGGTGACCTGGACCTGGTTTCTAACCTCATGGACTCTCATAAGGTGCCCACTTTGTTCTTGCTAAGAAGCCAGCCTGTGCGGCCTCACATAGACCGCGTGCCATTCTTTTCGTGTGTGTGTGTGCGTATGTGTGTGTGTGTGTGTAACGGTCTGACACCCATGATGAGCCTCAATAACACTACCCGCTGTCCGAAACATGTTCCAGGCCTTCCAGAAAGAGATGGGCAAAAGGACGGGGAGCATTCAGGCCTTGAAGCGCTCCGGCCGAGAACTCATGGAGACAGGTCGGGACGACACGGCATGGGTCAAAGTTCAGCTGCAGGAGCTGAGCAACCGCTGGGAGACGGTGTGTGCTTTGTCCGTCACAAAGCAGACGCGACTACAGCAGGCACTCAAACAGGTAAGAAAAAGAAACATTTTTAATGTTTCTTCAGTCACCTAGTAGTTTGAAATGACTGGTCCTCCTGATACCAATAAGTGTTTTTTTTTTTTTTTTGCTGCTGTGTGTCAGGCTGAGGAATTCCGCACGGCGGTGCAGATGCTACTGGAGTGGCTGTCCGAGGCCGAGCAGAGCCTTCGCTTCCGCGGTGTCCTTCCCGAGGAGGCAGAGACCCTCCAGGCATTGTTGCACACCCACCGCCAATTCATGGGCACCGTGGAGGAGAAGAGGGCAGAGGTCAACCAGGCAGCGGGCATGGGCGAGGCCATCCTCACCCTGTGCCACCCGGACTCCATTACCACCATCAAGCACTGGATCACGATCATCCGGGCGCGCTTTGAAGAGGTAAGTCAGCGTGGGGTCCAAAGTATGAATGTCGTCACGGTGGTATCGGGCAGTGATTTTCAACAGGTGAGAGGGTCGGGAAAAAAACAAAAGTCTTTGGTTTATGATGTATCATAGTACCATGTGGCCTAAGTATACATCTTCACACACGTTTCATGTTTTTCATTGGTTGTTATATCTGAGGTCAAGCAGTGTTTATCATGAAAAAAGTATTTTATCACTATATTTGCTTGTCCCGACCAAGTCAAGTCAGCTTTATTGTCAAATATGCTCTATGTGCAACATACAGCACAGATGAAATTTCTTTCCTGTCAACCAGAGTGCAACCACACGAGAGAGGAGCCGCTGCGGATACTCGCTCCTCCATCTACAGAACATAAAATAACAAAATAATACGCAACACATAAGACAAAGACAGTCGTGCAATCTTAACCACTTTTTCTGCATACACTTTGTTGTTTGAAGCAGATGAATGAGGAGAGAATCAAATTGATGACTATGACGTGGAGTTCCCCAGGGCTCAATCCCGCAAAACCTTTTGTTTAATTTGTCCATGCTTTCATTCAGCAAATATTTAATTCCATGGCATTTAGGGGTACAAATGGTATTTATGTGTAACTATTAAGCTTATGGCAGTCTTTGGGGAAAATTCATCCCCTTTAAGTGAAAGCTTTGAGTTTAACACACGTTTGTATGTGGGTATAGGTGCTGACGTGGGCCAAGCAGCACGAGCAGCGTCTGGAGGCGGCACTGACCGAGGTTCTGAACAACGCCAACCTGCTGGAGGAGCTGCTGTCGTGGCTACAGTGGGCCGAGACAACCCTGGCGCAGAGAGACATGGAGCCCCTCCCACAGGACATCCCTCAAGTCAAAGGACTCATTACAGAACACCAGGTCAGCATCTGTACAGGTTCAAATATTCTCATCAATGAGCTGATATCGGAAATTCTGATCAGTGTGTGTCTCAGTCATAGAGTAATCTATGAATTCAGTTCCCAATGTTGTATTGTACCCGATCCAAATGTTCTCTCTGTCTCAGATGTTCATGGAGGAGATGACAAGAAAGCAGCCGGACGTGGACAAAGTGACCAAAGGTTATAAAAGGAAACCCGCTGAACCTCCCAGCAGTCTGGCGGAGAGGAGAGGCCGTGAGTTTCTCACATATATTGATTAGTACTAATGATGCACCGATCGCACTTTTTTCAGACCAAGTATCTGCGTCGTTGTATCAGAACATTTTATGCGTACTGATGTACTTATTACGATTGGTTGATAATTTCTTGACATGATTGGTCCTCTAGGGCGACAACAACAACAACAACAGCAGCAGCAGCATCATCATCAGCATCATCATCATCATCAGGCCTCGATGCAAGTTTCAGGGACCAACCCACGACTCAATCAGCTGTGTGCACGCTGGCAGCAAGTTTGGCTTCAGGCGCTGGACCGCCAGCGAAAACTCAACGACGCTCTGGACAGGTTGGAGGAGGTACAATAGCATCATCGTGGCGTTTATATTTTCATGTCTTGACTAAAACAGGACATGCATGCATGCATGTAGGTCGGTTGTTTTTAATCCCGAAATCAAGTGAAACAGGAAGGATGAACACCTTTGACGTGTGCTCGTTGCAGCTCAAAGAGTTTGCCAACTTCGACTTTGACGTGTGGCGGAAGAAGTACATGCGCTGGATGAACCACAAGAAGTCGCGGGTCATGGACTTCTTCCGCCGCATCGACAAGGATCAGGACGGGAAGATCACGCGGCAGGAGTTCATCGACGGCATCCTGGCGTCCAGTGCGTTCACCACACACACACACACACACACGCACACACGCACACACGACTACAGTTCATTACAATACAGGACAAACACATGAAAAAAATCACTCACATGAAAACTTTTTAATCTCTTTTCATCCTGTTAATTCTGTACATTTTTCCACATTGAATTTTTCCTCTGCAGAGTTCCCCACCAGCAAGTTGGAGATGACGGCGGTGGCGGACATTTTCGACAGAGACGGTGACGGCTACATCGACTATTATGAATTTGTGGCCGCCCTGCATCCCAACAAGGATGCCTACAGACCAACCACGGATGCCGATAAGATTGAGGACGAGGTGAGCGTGCGGACTGGACCAAAGGAGTTGTAATTGCATCCAGATGCCACAAGATGGTGGCAAAGCATCAACGCCCTTTCATTAGCGACTGTTCAATGCAACCAAACCACTTTTCACGCGAGGTTTATGAATCGTACTAGCTTGCATACTAGCATAAATAAATATTTTTGTGTCATGTCCTGCAGGTGACTCGGCAGGTGGCTCAGTGTAAGTGTGCCAAGCGTTTCCAGGTGGAGCAAATAGGGGAGAACAAATACCGGGTAAGCTCAGCCAACTTTTTTGACTTCTCGTGGTTGATGTCCAGAAATGATTTTGTCCACCTTTAGAGACAGTATTGTTTGACCCACTTGTGAATACCGTGACATTTTTACTTGCAACCAAAGGAACCTTGCTAACTAGCTAACCTCCCTGCATTCCTCATGTGTGCGTCTGCACCTTCATGCTTCTCCTCTCATGGTATCAAAGGAGAACATGATTTCATGTACACTTAGTGCTCCCAACCGCAAGTTCTCATCTCATGCTTTCATCACTTGACCTCACCATGTGGTCTCAACGTCATCGTAGAGGATCAGAAATCAAATGCGCACCTCACGCCTCTTAACCATGTGTTTTTGTTTTCATGATAGCAGATGAGAAAGTCATTAAATGTTCCCATCGACGCTCTTGTCTTGACTGTCACCTAGTGGTGTCATCTTATAGATCAAATGTGCACCTCACGCTCTCTCACCTTGTGGTCTTATGTTTGTCACATCGTGTGTGTGTGTGCATGTGTCTGCTCATGTTTGTGTGTCACTCCCACTTCTACTGCGCGTGAATCTCCAGGAGCATATTTGATGCCTTACAGTGCCGCCTCAACTTAAGTGTGACCCGATTTTAGGAGTTTAGAAGGATACGAGTCGCTAGCTTAATGCTAACGCACAATGCAAGACGCCATAGGAGGGCTAACGAAACTAGCTTGAAGCTAGCAACGGTTGTAAACCTTTCAGCAACACGGTTTAAGCGGTCTCAACGCAATGTGGACGTAGCGTACAATTTTCGTGGGCCTATATTCTTTATCCTCTCCGTTGATTACAGTGGGGGGGGGGGGGATGACTCGAGGTACACGGGGTTTGAATTGCATGCGTGGCAATGACCAAATGAAACAAGTCAAGGCGTCACTGTACATGAAAAAAAGGAAAGCGCCTCCACGGGCTTATTGTTGTTTTTATTGTTGTTGTGTTTATTGTTTCAATCGTCATCTCTTTCTTCCTTTCTTTCTTTTGTCCTTTCTATTTTCTTGCGCCGCCTCTGCCGGATATTTTGTGTAGTTCTTCCTCGGAAACCAGGTAACTCACTTCTGATGCTGTCACTGGCCGTGTGAAATCTGCTTCCTCGCAATCAGACAGAAGGAATTTGTCTCCGCTTGTTGGAGTTACTCTCGTATTACTGGAGGGAAGATATGATCAACAGCATGTTGTTTTATTTTCAATTTGAGTGTCGGCAACTCACAAAAACAAAGTAGGAATGCCTGATTGGAAGCAGGTTTCAGCGGCCTTGTGAGTGATAATCCCTCAAGTGTTTTCTGTGCTTTGGACTGACGCTGGTGAAGGAATCAGGCTGCCGGAAGAAATTTCTTCTTCTTCTGCGGTGGGCTCATCGCAGACTTCTGCTTGTATCCCCCCTGCCCCAAAAAAAGTCTGGCGCGTAAGCAATCTGTGGTCCGCTGCATATTCTGTTGTTAAAATGAATCCTTTTTAAGCTTAGAAGTAATATGAAATTAAATTGTATATAAAAAAATTACATTTTGATAAAAGTGACGTATGTAATAAAGGTGCCTTTTTTTCTCAATTTTTTTAAAACGGTTAATACATTTGAATGTTACTTTTTATAGATAGTTACAAGTGGTCACGCAATTTTTCAAGTCAAAATAAATTAGATCACACATTTTTTTTTTGCACATTTTAACTTGAAACTGAGAAATACACTTTTTAAAATATTTGATAATTGACCTTTATTGAATATTGAATTATGTATACTGCTTAAAAAATAAAGGGAAGACTTAAGCAGCCCAATGTAAGCTCCAAGTGTTCCCTTTATTTTTTTGGAGCAGTTTAATTCGCATTTTTCATGAACACCAGCGGCCCTCCTCCTTCCTTCCATCGGACATCCCTGCTGTAAAATGAAACGTCCGATCATGCAAAAGGCTTCCTTCCTTCCGATGGGAGATTGTGGCTGAAAATTGACCTTCCGGTGCATGTTTTGCCTGCATGGCTGCTTGGTTTGGTGTGACTCTCGAATGTATTTCAAGGCCTCTTTGTCTTGACGTCTCATCTTTCCCCCCCCCCGCGCAGTTCGGCGACTCGCAGCAGCTCCGTCTGGTGCGCATCCTACGCAGCACCGTCATGGTGCGGGTGGGCGGAGGCTGGATGGCTCTGGACGAGTTCCTGGTCAAGAACGATCCGTGTCGAGGTAAGTCACACCCCAAAAAAAAATAAATCACAATCCACGGTGGTCTGAATCCAAAGCAGGGAAAGCCGGAATTTGTTGCGGGTTGTCGATGCATCGGTGACCATGCAAAATCGCCATCGCTCACTTTTGGTTGTTTTCACCAAGCAGTCCAGTTTATTTGCGTTCCCATTTAGATACACACGAGTACTGTAACAAGTGCAGTGGTATCTTGACTTTATGACCGTATGTTAACATCCTGGAGTGTGTTGAGCGATATCAATCGGTCTGGCTGGAGGCGGCCGCCTTGCAATTTTAAACGCCTGGTGTGTCCCATCTTCACTTTCTTCTTTGTACTCTTGCGTATTTGATGACTAGTACAAAGTAGTGCATGATGCATGCTCCTTCTTCTCTTTTCTTCCCCCCCTCCCTCCTTTTTTTCCTTCCATTCCTTTCTTCCTTCCAGTTCAACATCCCGGACTTAAGATCCTTCGCTCTGACTCCAGTAGCTCCATCTCATCCCGTATAGGTTGGACGACTTCTCTGGCTCTTTCTTGACTCCTCCCCGTCAGGGCTTTTTCTTTCCCTCATTCTTTTCGTTTGTTGGTTTTTGCTCGCCGATGCCACGACTAATGTTGTGATCCCTTCGATTCCCACGTCGTCGTTTGTCCTGCCAAACCCCCGCCCCCCCGGCCACGCGTTAGGTTGCTGCTGTGTGTTTGTGTGCGCGTCTGGTTGTTTCACATTGTCTCCTGTCTCTCTCAGTGGCAGTCACTCCAGGCTATTTCTGCTGCAGAGGTATCTACCCTTCCTCCTCTCTCTCTCCCCATCTGTCCATCCTTCCATCCGGCTGTCTGACCATTCACTCACTGTCCATCTTAATTCACACAGCTGACTGTCGAGACAGTATGTGCGTGCGTGCGTGTGTGTGGTGTCTTTTGCAGTTGCGATCATATGGATGTTGCCGCCGCTCGCTCAAAGGCCCGCCCGGGTTTTCGAAAAATTTGGCAATACATCTTGTTGTTGTTTAAGTTGCTTAAGACCCGGCCGGGCAGGCTGCCTGCCTGTCTTTCAACATGGCTCCTCTCAGATTTTCAATGGAGATTTAAGAAAAAAAGATTTTTTTTGTCCACGTTATAAGCTTATGTCCACCCAAAAAAAAAAAAAAAAACACGTAAATGTATAAAAGCACTGATACGCACTCCTCGAACAGTTGTCGCATAAGACACAATCACTGAGAAATTACTCCACACTCGCATACAGTAGCTGCGCACAAGTTGTACTATTGATTTAGATTTTTTTGGGGGGTGAGGGGGCCATACAATTGTCATTTAGTGACAAACACTCCTCGCCCGTGTGCCACTTCGATACATACCACCCACCTATGACAGAATGTCGATGTACGAAGTGCTCCTCGTGGTTCTGGTGACACGCAAGCTAAAAGTGCTGCACTGCTGCTTACCTCCTGCATCTTGACATTCCTGTGCACTTTTCATGAAACGTTCTTCTCGCCGCTCCTTTTGAATATTATTAATATGAATTGTTGTGATGATGTTTGTAGCTTCTTCGGGCTTGCTGTGTGCTTGATGGGGGGGCTGCCGCACTTTGTGGGATCACAGAAGGCTGCTCATTGAATAGAAACAATCGTTCAAAATGAGAGCCCACCCGCCCAAGCACGTGCAATGCTTCGAAACAAGCGCTCACTGCAATGGAATTAACAGTGCGCTCATGTCTGTCTACTTTTATCTTGATTGTTGTTGCAATTATTTTATTAATTCAATTCATTGGATTTCTTCATACACATTTTTTTTACATTCATAGCAGTGTGAACTATATTTTTTATTTATAATTCCCCCTTTTAAATATTACTCTTACAAATATAGCCCAAGAGTAACAGCGTGAGTCCACCTTCTCGTGGGCTCACCGCTTGTGGGAGGGGCCAAAGGGATTCATTTTTTTCTTACTACATTTTGCATATTTTTATTTACAAATGATTTTTTTAAACTAATTACTTTGGCATGTTTATTTGTATTAAAAAAAAAAAACAATTATTAGCTGACCGCCTACTTCCGGCACTCTCCCATCCTCTGCCCCCTGGAGGGTCGCCTGACGTTTGCGCCTTGCCGTTGTGCTTGCGTTGCAGCACGCGGGCGTACCAACCTGGAGCTCCGAGAGAAGTTCATCCTTCCCGAAGGGACGCCGCAAAGCGTGTGCGCCTTCCGCTCGCGCGGCCGCCGCTCCAAGCCCGGCTCCCGCAATGCCTCGCCCACCCGCTCCTCGTCCTCGGCCTCCCACAGCGGCGCCTCGGCACCCTCCACGCCGGCCACGCCGACCGCATCGGCCTCAACTAGGGTAGGTGCTATCGCCTTTTTTCCTAAAGCCTAAGTGTAGTGTTCGATGTTAACATGTTTTTCTCTCGTCGTCGTTAATCTTCCTTCATGCTTTTCTTTTTTTTTTCTAATTTTCTGATCAATTAAACTTAATTTTATAAAATCTTTTCTCACACAATTAAACTGTTAAAAATTGCTCGCTGGCCTCCGCATCTTCTGCTTTGCTCACCGTTGGCGACACATCCACTTCTCTCCGCATCACCTTTTCGCTCCTCGCAACTTCTCGTCTTCCTTCCTTTCTTGCTGTCCATCGTTACCTTGCTCCTTCCCGTCTTCGGTCCTGTCCGTCTTTCTTCTCTCTGCTTGCTTCCTTCATTGCACCCTGTCTGTCTTTCCTGCTGCCCTCGTCGCTACTTCCTGGCTCCCGTTGCCTGCGTCACTATTTCCTGCCCCTCCCCCCACCCCCACTTAGTCATCACACACTCACTCTCGCGACTACGCCAAGCCGTGGTTGACGCATAGTAAAAGTGCGTCGGCGACCAAGTGTCAGTGCTGCCCGGATGTCAGCGGGGACGAGGTAACAACACAAGACCCACGCAGACATAACATCCACCTGCTTCCCGCCTTAGCCCTCTTGCTAAATGCTGACCGCACTCTCCAAGCCAATTCATAAAAAAACAAACAAAACATATATATTAATTAATTAATTCCAATTATTTTGTTGCAGCTCTTATGAATCATTCATGTGTGTATGAGCGAGATACTCGTCCTGTTCTGTATAATAATTATTGCTCTTTGCTTTTCTAATAGTTAAGTACCGTATTGGCCCGAAGACGGTGTTTTTTGCATTGACTTAAGACTGAAAAAGTGGGGGTCATCTTATATTCGGGGTCTAGACATTAAACCCATTCACGACGCTAGATGGCGCCAGATACCATTGAAGCGAATGCTGAACTTGACTCCCCAGGCCAAAATGAACCCGTCATGAAGAATAAAAATAAAAATAGCGGTAAGAAAGAAAAGAGAAGAAAATAATAGAAGAGATAACAGAAAATGGAGAAACGTAGCGACAATCTCGAGAAAAATGGGGCGAAGATCGGCCAGGTTAACAGGCAGCTGAGAAGTTATGGTGTAAACTTCAAGATGCTTTTTCTCTCAAATATATTGTTATAATCATTTGTTTCAGATGTACTGTAATTATTTTCTGTCTAAAAAATAAATTGGTGTTCAAAAAGTATTTTTTTCCAACTTGAGTCTTGAAAAAGAGGGGGTCGTCTTATAATCAGGGCCATGTTATATTCGGGCCAGTACGGTATTTATAGCCTTTTTTTTTTTTTTTTTACTTTGAATCACTTTTACTAATTAGAATCATACATCCCAATTTTTTTTCCTCTTACGATCAGGTTCAATTTCACTATTTATGTCTCCTATTCATTATCGAGTATTTCTTACTATTACCGTTTGAAATCAAAATAATACTTTGTTTTGCAACTATTTTTTGCAATTTATTATGACTATTGCTTTCTCCTATTACCATTATGATGTCGAATATTAGGATGATTGTGACAGCACACACACGCACACTTATTGCTCTTGAATTCAGTCGTGAACAAGACAGCGTAAGCCGACATTCGTCGCCTCTTCTTCGCACAGGGGGCGTCGTCGGGCTCCAAGCTGAAGCGTCCGACCTTCCATTCCAGTCGCGGCTCACTGACAGGTGAAAACGGCGGGTCGACGCACGCCGCCAAACGAAGTGGTGAGACCCCAGCACCCTGCTTCACATTGCAGAGGTCACATGACTTAGGTCGGCGTGATTTTTTGCCGTAGTCAATTGGAACTTGTTTGCAAATGTGAAGATTAGGACTTTGGCATATGTGACATATTGCCGCCTCTCTCAAATTGTGAATATTGTCCCCAACGCTTTCCCATCTCCCTCGGCAGATCCGAAGCGAGCCGGGTCTTCGGCGAGCGGTCCCACTAGCCGTGCGGGCAGCCGCGCCAGCAGTCGTCGAGGGAGCGACGCGTCCGATGCCTCGGAGCTGCAGGACTCTCGCTCTGTCTGCTCAGACGCGTCCGACACCCCGCGGAGGCCCGGCGGTGGCGCCAAACCCTCCAAGATCCCCACCATCAGCAAGAAGACCCCTAGTCCCAAACCACCCACGTCCAGCAAGAAATAAAACAAGGGTGGGGGGAGGGGGGAATGTCTTCCTTTCGCACGGTGGCGGCCCTCTCTCATCGGTTGCTGGCATCCCATTTTGTCTCGGATAACAATTTGGGAGAGGCCGTTTTGCAAGCTTCTAGGCGTGTGTGTCACTGCAGCAAGAAATCAGACAAACAAGAAAATGGTCTAAAATGGGGGACCAAAAAAAAACAAAAAACTTTGGCTTGGAGGCTAGCAAATATGCAACATGTGACACCACGCGGAACACTCAGGGGAATGCAGGGGCCGCCACCCAGATTGAGGGCAACCTCACCACCACCACCACCAACCGGGACAGGGGCGGCTGCCCCACTTTGGCCTTGCCCCACCCCCAAAAAAAAAAAAAAATCCCCACAATGGTGGCGGTGCACCACAAGGAGCACTACCTGGCTTCCATCCAAGCGATGGCGCTCGTGGGTCATTTCCCTTTTGTTGCAACACTCGACTGGGAGACAGTTTGACAGCGTAAGCGAGGCTGGACGACAGCTGTATGCCTTACCGCAAATGTAGGTCGGAATTTTGACACTTCTCCCAACTTGGTTGGACTGAAACACCAGGAAGGACACAAACAAAATAAAAGTCACCTCTTGGCTCTCAACCGAAACTTCCAACACCAGGATGGACATGCAAAAAAAAAAATGTTTTTTCGAATGCACTCTGGCCTTTTCTCACCGCTTTCCCTGCGAAACAACATACATTTGGCAGGAGGGGGTGTGGGGGTGGGGGTGAAGTCATCGAGGCATTTTTCTGCCCTAACCGAGGCTGGGCAATTCCGGGACACTATAACCCTTCTTCTGCCATTTAAAGCTGCTCTTGTAATACAACTTTGCCGCTCAGGTGGCGCTAGCGAGTCATTACGGAAGGGGGAGCTTTGTCGACAAAGTTTCATGCCTGTAAAAAAAAAAAAAAAAAAAAAAAACTGCTGCATTCTCCTGCCTTTCTTTCTCCACCGGGTTCTGTCCCACACAAGACAGAATTGGCCGAGGGGGACGGAGTCAACGTGGCGATTTTCCGCTGTAACGGAGGTGGGACGACGCCTGTGTGGAAGAGGCTTCTGACATACCGGGACGGGGGTGTCAAGTTTTGACACCTGACACTCCAATCTCCCCGCTCCTTTCTCTTGCCTGTTACGGAAGGTTTTCCATGTTACTTCTTTCTGTTAATTTATAATCCTTTTTTTTTTTGTTTGTTTATCTTGAAATCTAATATTTAATGAAGTTGGCAGGAGGTGATAAACAGGTGCGTTTGTCTCGTGACCAATCATGTGGACTGCATGGAAAGAGAGCAGCAGCAGCGGCAGAGA